TTTTTTTTTTTTTAAATGCCTTTTGTTACTACCTTTTTATGTTTTAGTTATTTTAATGCAATAGATTAAAAGGATCTACATTTTGTCGATGCAATGTTAAGGAGTTTTTAAAAATTGAGGACTCGTTCTGTCTTCTGATGCAGAATGTTATCGGTATTTTGACAGATTTCCATTAAACTTTTAAGACTGGGCAAGAAAGAATTTTAAGAGTGATCGTTAAATAATATTAAATTAAGGAAATAGCTTCAGCAGAATAGTTTTTTGTGATTAGTGTTACTAAGGCGACAGCAAAAGAATAATGGTGCCCTTTTTTATGTTTCTTAATTTTCCCTATTGAATTGTGTGCGTGGCTTAAATAATCTGCTATTCAATTGAGTAATGTTTTTTATTTTTCAAATATTAATAAAGAAATTGTATGGGTAAAAAAAAACTCCAATTATATACGAGTGCGGATAAATTACATTTTATTTCTTTGACGTTTATTTCTTTGACGTCCTATTCTCTTTCTTTAATAAAAAAATTATTTTCATTTCATTTTTATCATTTCTCAAAAACATGAGGTTTATCCCTTTTTATTTTAAAAATTTTTGGCTTTAGAAACTTTCTCTTATACTGAAGAGTGTCGTTTATCTCTACACCAATTAATAGACTGTCTAGTTATCAAGGACCATGTGTTTTTACCCTTCTTCTCCAAAAAAAGAAAATTAATATTTCATCTTCAGATTCTCTGAATGTTTTCAAAACATTTCTTCTGTTATTTGGCGCCTTTGGAAGGGGGGACTCCTCACTCCATTTCAGTTTGCTTTGTCTCTGATATGACCTTCTAAGGTTTGAGCTGGAAGCAACTACTATTTTTAACGTAACAAGTTTTTTCCTTTTGGCTGATGAAATAATACAAGCTGCAACAAATTAAAAAGGGGTTAAAGAATGGAGCATGAGTGTACAAAGGAATCGTAAACTGAGCACGTCAAAAAGTGATAACAGAAATTAAATTTGTGTATCGTATTATCATCTAAATGTCAGAATTAGAAAACAATCAGTTAAACTGGAGGAAAATTGTATCGCAATATTTGAGAAAAAGTATTTGCGGAGTATACTTGGTGGTGTAAATGAAAACAATAACTAGAGAAGGAGATTTAACCTTGAACTGTACAAGATTTAAAACAACCTGATATTATTAAATACATAAAATTAATCGAATGAATTGGATGGCACATCTGTGATTTGAATGAGTGATGACAATACAATAATAAAGATACTGCTTTTTAGACCCACTGGAACAAGAAAGCGGGGAAGGCCGCGATTGAGATGGGATGACTCAGTGGAATCTGATCTTCTTGTAATTAATGAAAAGAATTGGATATCAAAGATAAATCGAATGTCGTTATGGGGAAATCTTCAGAGGAAGGCATTGGCTCATATTGGGTTGTCTGGCTAACTATGATGATGATGATGAATCAGTAAAATCAGGTTTTATGATAAAATAATCACGAATGGAATGTGTCAAAAAAGATTACTCAAATTAAAGATTTGTGTTTCATATTATCAGGATTTGAATAATATATATACAAATGGTGGAAAATAATCCAAAAATTATATGATATTGTTGGGAACCATTTTTCATTAAGAGCAGAAGTTTATCTTTTTTTTTTTAATTCAATATGGGTTTAGGTTTGTTATATCGAATTTAATAATGAGTTCGGATTTTCAAGGTTTCCAGATTTTTGAAGTGGTACTGTACTTGAAAAGAACAAAAAAATTTAGTTTGAATTATGCTAATTTTTTGTTAATAATTACTGTGGAAAACTAAAAAAATCATTTGTGTTCTACAGAAGAAAAGTTTTGAAAAGTGTCTGATAACTTTTTTTAAAAAAAAGAATATGATGTTTATTTTAAAATATTTTTAGGATGGTTCTCTAGAACACAACATTTTGTCTACTTCCCTGTATCCAGTCCATCATTTGGACAGCCATGAATTTTTTCCTGGAGATTATGTTGTAGATAATAAAGGTAAAAACTCATCCATTAACTGTATTTTAGCCTCATGTGATTCTTTATTACCAAAATCATTGTTTAAAAATCTCTTTCCTTAATTCATGCTAGGATTGAAAGCTTTACAGTTGATAATTTTAATGAAAGTTTTTGTTTGTCACTAACTTATCATATCAGTCAACATTGTAAACACATTTCTTTGTAACTTAAGATAATTATTAAAAATTCAGCGAAAAGGGGCATGTTGCATATGCATATTTAATTTCAAATATATGTTTAGATTAAGAGGCTTAACTCTTTGCAATGATTTTCAGAAAATTATATGTTTTTTTATTAGCTCAATATTTATTTTTAATTTATGGTTATCAATATGGACTATCTTTCTAACTAGCTAAAAGTTACATTTCTGACTGAGTAATTGAAAACTTTTTTAGCAATTTAAACCTAAAATTTTCAAATCATTTATTTGTCTATTCTATGTGCTAGTCGATGAAATATTTTTTACCAAGTTAGAATTTTAAGTGTAGCATTAAATTCAATTTTTTTCTTGTTGAATTTCTCTTAAATTTATGTCATGATTTTATTAATTTTTTGTTATAATTGATATATCTGTTTCCAAATTTCTTGTTTTGCTTTATTAAAATGTTATAAAACTGAAATTGAACACAATTTCCTTTTGTTTATTTATTATTTTTTTAAAAGAATCTCGACCGTACGAGTATGGTGTAGTTAAACAAGTTGATCACAGTGGTCGAACAGCTCTAGTCACATGGATGAAGACTTACCATGCTGGTGGAAATCCTCAGTAAGTTTTTATATTTTTCATTTTTAAAAATTTTTTAATACAATTTTTTATTGAAACAAAAGATGTATAGTAACCTCAAATTATTTCTCAACCATATTAGGTATAACACATATACCAATTAGTATCATTATAGACCATTTTTTTTCCAGTTGAAACACTGGTGCAACTGTGACTTCTGAAATACCCATTGCCTCTCAGTGTTCTTCAGTAATAATTTAGGGCTATTACTTAAGGCAGGGGTCTCCAAACTACGTCCCGCGGACAGATTTTGTCCGGCCCGTGGAGAGCTAGCATACTTGAAAACTCCTTTAAGAGAACATATTTTTTATAGCAAATTAAATTTAGTTTACTGAAGTGTTCTAATTTTATGTTGAATAATTATTAATATGACATCTACATTGATATGGTCATGGGCTAACTACTCATAACATTGTTGTAGGCTTATTGTTATTGTTTTTGTGATAAATTGGATAAAGAAACACAGAATTGTGATGAGTAAGGCCCGGATTTTGATGACTTTTGCATTTTTGGACATTCTTTGTCCTTTAGAGCATTTTTTTAGATTTATAGTGCATTTTTCTTTAAATTTTTTGGCGTATTTTGCATTTTAAAGCATTTTTTAAATTTTTTGTTAATTTTTTCCAATTTATATTATTTTGTTATAATTTTTTATTATTACACTGGCTTCCAAACAATGAAGAAAATCTCTAGGATATTAATAGGTGAAGCAGCATCTTTTCTAATTGAAGAATAATTGTCAGTAAGTGAGACCATCTTTTTCAAATTGCACCAATAACATCATTAGACGTTGAAAGAAGCTTCTCCAGGTATAAAAATTTACTTTCAGACTAGAAACGCTCGTTTACATTTCGAATTATCAAAAAAAAATTTAATAATCCAACGTAATTCTGATGTTTAGTAATATTATGAGATGGAAGTTGTTATATTCATTAAAGTTTTTATACAAAATGAAAATGTTTTGGAGTCAATATATTTTCCTTTTATTTGTTATTTTAGGATATAAAACATATTTTTCAAACTTTAATGAACGTAGAACAAGTATTGCATTGCTTTATATTTTTTGAAATGACTCATAATAATTTTAAGGAATAAAAAATTGCTTTAGTTCAATATTTTTACTTCATTTCAGTCATGTCATGAGGCATTTTTAGCGCAATTTTCGCACTTTTTAAGGGCATTTTTCGCACTTTTTAAGGGCATTAATTGAGATTTTTTGGGTCATCAAAATCCGGACTCTAGTAATGAGTAAAGACATGTATAATGTGCAGAAAATTTAACTTCAGTATATAATAACTAACAAATTATTGAAATGAATCCAACTAACATTTTATATATTTTAAATAAAAACATAACTTATAACAAGCATAATGACATATGAAATACTAATGAGATTTATGTAATTGAGATTTTCCACTAACAATAGTTTGTAGTTGTGGACTAATTTTACTTGTACCAATTATTAAAAGAGATTTAAGATGCTCATCAGTTAATCTAGATCTGTAAACATTTTTTGTGTACTTCATTTTAGCGAAGGTCTTCTCACACAAATAAGTAGTACCAAAAACAGAAAACAGCCCACGAGCAAATTTATGCAAATTATCAAATTGTGTCAGTGGAAGACTCTTATAAAATTCCAACAAAGATGAGTTTTGATATTTGTTCTTAATTATATCACTGCACTGTAGATCAATCATTTCCATTTGAAGTTCCATGGCTAGGGTTTCAATGTCAGTATCAAAAGGATTCTGAAAAATCTTAATTTGATTCGCAATGGCATCAAAGTCCGAGAAACGAGTATCAAAATTTATTTTCAAAGCACTCAAAAGTTTCGATTGCAAAATCGATAGGAAACTCAGTCTCAGTGGTGTGGCTGAATATTTCACGTGTATTAAAATGTGAAAAACATTTACTTCGTAGTTGTGATTGAAACAGTATCAATTTCTTCCGGAATGATTTGATATTAGTGTATAAATCAGGAAGATGCTGGTTTTCTCCTTGCAATCTCAAATTCAGTTTGTTCACATGTTTTGTCAAATCAACATAGAATGTTAACTTCCACAGCCATGCGTTGTTTTGTAATTCAGTAAGAGGGCGATGCTTTTCATTCAAAAAAATTTCAATCACTGCTCTAAGTTCAAAAAAGCGCTGAAGGACTTTCCCACAACTAAGCCAACGTACGGCAGTATGATAAGTCATTTTCTCCAATCTCTGCAATAAATTGTCGGTGATTCAGCCCAAAAGATCTGATAAAATTAACAGTCGATATGACTGGTTTCAGAACTTCAGACATATCCAAACATTTTCCGCACAAAGACTGTTGATTAATGATACAATGTAAGACTAATGGTTTTGAACCACCGTCGTTTTCTACAGCCTTTGACACAAGAGTGACCACTCTTTTATCTTTCCCACTCATGTTTTTGCTTCGATCAGTTGTAATACATTTCAAGTTTTTCCATCGAAGGTTCTTTTGATTAATGGCCATTTCAACTCCTTTAAAAATATCTGTACCAGTAGTTGTGCCATGAATACTATACATATCAAGATGTTCTTCATGCACTTCATAGCTTTTACCTACTCCTCGAATATAAATCAGCACCTGAGCAGTATCTGACACATCCGTTGACTCATCCAAGGCCAAAGAAAACCACTCAACATGTCCATTTTTGTCGAACAGTTGAGAGGATATATTTTCAGCGATGTTTTCTACCCTTCGAGCCACAGTATTTGCAGACATACTGACAGTTTTTAATAAATTTACCTTTTCAGGGCACATTTCTTCGCCTACTGCAATTATGCATTCTTTGATTATTTCTCCATTCGTTAATGGTTTTCCACGTTTTGCAATTTCAAGAGCCACATGAAAGCTGGCACGAGTTGCAGCCTCTTGTTCAGTTTTGAGTTTTGTAAATGAAGATTGCTGCGATTTCAATCAGCGCTTCATAGCTTCGAATTTTTCTGTCCGCAAACTTCCTGTATATTTTGAGTAATTTTGAAAATGTTTTGTTTCATAATGACGTTTAATGTTATATTCTTTGAGAACGGCTATGCTTTCATTGCAAATCAAATATAGCACCTTGTTACTGGACTCAATTACGAAATACTGAATGTTCCACTGATCTTTGAATTTTCTGCATTCACTATCAATTTTTCGCTTCTTTTCCATACTACTAAATCACACACAAAAGCAACAATTCAAATCAAAATACTGTTACAAAGATGTCTTAAACTTAAACACGCACAAACACGTTTTAAGGAGGTACGCACTATTTTATTTCGCAACAGTGTCATAGGAACTGACTTGTGGTTGCGCCACTAGCCTTCTTATATATTCCAATTGCTGCCATCTAGAAGTGAGTGGAAGACACCAGAACTTTCTCGAACCAACAAGATTATTCTGTACGTACTGTTAGCGATAGAAGGTACTACCTATTTCCACTTGTGTCCACCAGATGTCGTGTCATGTTACTTCTCATGGCTCGTACTCTACGACTAATCTAGAAATTACAGATAATGACAGGAAAATTAATAATGTGCAGTGTTGCCGTTTTGCGGACTTTAGTCCGATTTGCAGCCTTTTTTAAACGTTGCATACTTTTTCTGACTTTTTTTTTCATCAGTGGACTATTTCACTTTTTACCTCCGGCAACAATGATAATGTGGTTTTGGCCCTCGGAACGTACTGGAGTAATCAGTATGACCCTAAGGCTGGAAAGTTTGGAGACCCCTGACTTAAGGCATTAAATAATGTCACTCAAGACAGAATGGTTATTGCTTGGACAATGGGTACTTGTGTGCCTTTGGCATAAGCTGAATTCTGTTTATTAATTAGAATAAAGTTTGTTATTAATGGTTGAGTAAGGATGAATGAAACTACTTTAAATGTAATTGTTGACTTATAGTAAAAGAAATATGGATATGTTTTTAATAAGTTACTTAATATGTTTAACAATGTAAGCCATTTACCTACATTAGAATATAATACATAAAATAAACTAAGTTGTTCTTAAATATCCTGCCACAATTTTTTTTTTTAAAAACTATGCAATCTGTTTAATGTATATCTAATAATTAACAAGCATTTTATCCCAATAAGACTTTAGAGCTATCATATTTTAATTCAAAATTAAATAGTTGTCAATTAAAATTTGGATGTTCCTTGAAGCCTTATAATAAAAATGAGTGGTGTTTTTAGTTCCATAAATTTATTTTTCTAGCAGGTGTATCGTTTTCTTACAAGTTTTGTAATAAATAGATAGTTATGAATGTCTTGTAATAAATAAATAGATAGTTGAAAAATAATTGATATGAGCTTATGTGATTATATATATAAATATTGTGATTATATAAATAAATTGATATGAGCTTGTTTTGTACCTTATTTTATATTACTTTATTAAGATGTAGTAGTTCTTTTTTTTTTTTTTTTAAGGTAACTTTTAGTTTTTAAAGCAATTTTAAATTCTGGGAAAAAAATAATGATAATTGTCTGTGCATTTGAAATATAATCCAGAGCATTTTAAAGTTATACATATTTGTGTTCTTTTTCAAAACTAAGACTTGTAATTGAATGTTTAGCTTTGATGTAACTATTTTTTTCTCTTTAATTCATGCTTAATAGTCCTGAAATATTGACTGAAGAAGAAGTTAGTGTGTACGACATTAAAGATCATCCAGATTTTAAATATAGACCAGGAGCTTGTGTAATACGTGTAGTCAACTCGGAAGTAAGTAACTGAAAAATGCAAGTTCA